CGACACATAAAATAATTTTGCATTAAGTGCCCTTGTATCAATGGCGTGCATGCGCATAGTTCGGATGCATCAAATCAGCTCAAATCTGTTTCACAGCGTATTAGGAAAGTCTTCTAATATCTCTGTAAAAGATGATGCCTTCAACAAATGACGTCATATCACGCGGCGTCAATCATTGCCTCAATGGCGCGTGCATTGTTTACATAAGACGTTACAGATTCGAGCAGAATGGCGCCTTTTACTCATTTTAATACCCATTCACACTTAAATAGGAAATTTATTTTTCTAATACATAAAAAAAGTGTGAAATCAACTATGCTTGAGGTTATTGTTATGCGACAATCTATCATCACTGTGCATATTCCGTCCGGGATCCTTCAAGTGATTTTAACTACTGGACACGATTCACTGTGGTACAGTATGTGTGCATAAATTCAATGTAATATAACATCTTAGTCACACCCATTGAGGCAAACAGTTCAGCCTTAGACATTTTGATTTTCTGTAAATTTTAAGATGATTTAGACAAAAACTAGGTCATTCTGAGACTAACATATAGTTCAATTTTATTTCAATAGTTCGCTTGCGCTTAGGGGTCTTTAGCAGTTGGAGGAAACCGGAGGACCCGGCGAAAAATCACGAGGTTGGACAGACGACCCTACTTCTTGTCACGTACAACCGGGGAATCGAAACCACATCAGTTGACTGAAAGACAGACCTTATGATAACACGTACACGAGTTAACCATTCGGACCCCTCCCCCTCTGCCACCGACCTCGCATTTATTTAGAGTAAACATAAGCATATATCATATCTGATATATGTGTATTATCTGCCTACATAAACAGATCGATTTAACAGTTCTTATGCCTTTGTTTATTTTATTTTCTTGTCTATAATCATAACCTACATCGATTGTATGAAGATATATTTCTATAACAGTTGTGAGTAACATATTATTTAAATGTCACCATTCAGCACGTATACAGTAGAGGTAACAGAAGGATTTTGCATCATCGATATGAAACGCTTCAGAAATTGCTGATAAAGAATTTTGTGTTTTGAGATAAGATGATTCTAGTACCACAATCGACGGGGTTAATGTCGTACATTAGGATCACTGATGATCATAGGCGTACGGGGAAATTTTTGACTGGGGGGGGGGGGGGGCGGTGGTGGTTGGTGCCCAAAAAATGTAGTTAGGTTCTTAGTATGTGACATAATAATAATAATTTCGCTGTTAAATTGGACACATTCAAGAACACAATATCTTTTTTTTATACAACTTTTACAAAATACAATTGTGTGCCCAAATTTTCCCAGCATTGTGTGCCCAAAATGGGGGGGGGGGGCGGCTGCCCCCAGCCCCCACGGCTCGTACGCCTATGCTGATAATCTACAGTACGACCCCATGATAATAAACTCGGCTATTGCCGACCTGAACCAATAACACGATTGTTAAAATTAACAAGTTCTAGTTTATTAATAAATATTATCGTATCTTCCCCAGCTTCACTTAGGGTGGAATTTTTGAATGATGGCAATCACTCTGATTATATTGTAGAAAAATTCCAGATGACGTATGCTCAAGCACCACCGTTTAGTGGCGTTTCAATATGGCACCCAAAGTTTTAAAATGACGATGTTTTAAATAGCTCGGCCACATTTCTTTATTTCGTGTGTCAAGATTTAACTGTTACTCGTGCTTCTACCAATTTGGCACATTTCTGGTATGGCCATGACAGGGACGCCATGAACACAATTTATTACTATGGTAACACATGACACAATTATATGAAAGGAATACAAGTTACTTATAGATGTGTAAGAGCTAAATCCGACTATTGCAGGTCTTTATTTTGGCTTCAAATTTTAAATGTTATATATGCCAAGCCCATAATCAACTCCCTAGAGCATCGGGTTGAGATAGAATAAAGTAAAAAAAAAAAAAAGAAGAAAATTTCAATAATATAGCCATTTTTCATTATCTATTTTTGAACTATTATATCTAAATCTTACGAGGATTCTGTCATCTTTATTAATCAAAGACTGTGTATGAGCATTTTCAGAAGTTGATTTATAGAATGTAGAAATAGGTCGACCATATCCTTTAAGAATAGGATTAGACTGGGAGCTACCAGAGATCTGTATTACATCTCGAGTACAAAAGGTTTGACCATTCTTAAGTTTTCTAATTAGAGCATTAAGTAGGGGGCGCTGCTTGAAGTATCCCCGAAAGTCAGTTTAAATTACATTTTTGAGTACATCGATCAAACTGGTGCCAAGTTTCATTCTGGCACTGTGATTACAGATGTGCCATTCTTCAGTGACAAATTTGGTGCGAAACGCATTTAAGAACGGTCTAAAGGGGGACTTTTTCACATTTAAATTGAATTCGGTGCAAAATCCATTTAAGAACGTCATAATTGTCAAGTAAATGCTATATTTATACTAACAATTGTGAAATTGACATAAAATTAAATAAAGGCTATATTTATACTAAGAAATGTGAAGTTGACATAAAATTAAATATTGGCAAAACACCCGATGCCTTCATCCTCGGCAAAGAATATGGTATTGGTTAGATTTTGATTAAACCAAAATGCAGAAAACTTAAAGGACAAGGTAACATAAGGCATTTCGAAAATCCATTTACGGTACAAGGTACACAGAGTCATCTCCCTTTATGGAAAATATCAATAAGTATTGATAACAGTATCAATTTATTCGATAAACTGAATAGGATTTAACAACAGACTCATGCAAGCGCCTATATAAGTTCTCCCCACAATTTATATCTACTATAATAACTGTACACCTTTTGTTTTCAGATAGGCTAAAGTTATAACAAATATTTAGACTGAAACAAAGCATCTATAGAAATTTAGTTTTCTCACTAAAATAGATATGGTCAAAACTAAATAATATTGTAATAGGAGTGACAATAGTGTTACATGACAGGGCTCGCTGAGTAAGGTGCTGAAGGTGCTGGCTCACTAATCAGAAGGTCCGGGGTTTGATCCCTTGTTGGCACAGAAATTTCCTCCAAATTTTTCTAGCGTTGTTTCCCCTTGTCAGTGATGCAAAGGGACTGTGAGAGGGGACAGTGTCTAGTTATTCAGATGGGATATAAAACTGAGGTCGCGGGTACACGTTGGCGTTCACATAAGAGAACTTTTGGCAGTTCGAATTCGCTGTTTGGGCCAATTTTCCCTAAAGCATAATGCATGGCGTATGTAGATATGTAGATCTTCATTATCTTGGTTGACACTGAGCAATAAGACATTAAACTCCATTTGATTTATTTTCTATTCATTAAAATTGTCACTCCCTTACAGTATTATTTAGTTTTTGCTATTATATCTATTTTAGTGAGAAAATTACATATTCATAGATGCTTTGTTTCAATTCAAATATTTGTTAGGAATTTAACCTCAAATCTTATATAAACTAAAGATTTACAGATGTTCTATTAGAAATACTGTTTTCAGAGAACTTATGTAACCCCTGACCTGTTGTTCAATCCGATTCAAATATTGTTTAAATTATTGCTTTCCCTCCCATCCGAACGAATGTGCTCTATCCGTTCCAGCCCCCTCCCACCCTGTACTACTGACGTGTGTGTGGGTGTGGGGGGTGGGGCACCAGAGTTATCTTGTATATATATATATATCTGTATATAAGTGTAGTCATTGTGAAAATGAAACAAAAAGACTGTCAAAGACAACGAATTTGATGTTATACATGTAGTGACAGCGATGATAGTAATTGCGTAATTTTGATTTTCAATAATTGTTTTACTTCAATAAATAATTAGTTTTTGCCTGTTTTTGTTGGCAAATTACACAATCATAGATAGGGTTGCAGTTTAAATATGTTTGTAATTTTGGCCTTAAATCATATCTGAATTAGAGGTTTACAGCTACATATACCTTTAGTAAAAATAGGGCATCGTCTAATTGAAAGGGTATGTGGGGTGTGGGTTTATATTTTAGTGGACAGATTCATTGACAGATTCTGGTCTCCATTACCTCATAATCATATTGCTCAACCAATATCAAACATGTCTCCTGCCTCATCAGACTCTAGCCACCCAGCTCTTAAATTTACCCAGTAAAATTGACTGGGGCCGACACTTTTTCGACAAGGATTAAATAGGGTGGTTCCTGGATGTACAGGGCTTCCTGAATGCTTGCGACAGGTAGCTTTTTAAAAACATATAGAGGCCTGAGAACAGCGTGCTGATAGGTTTGTTAGATTACAGTAAAGTGTAAAATAAATGAAACGAAAGAGTAATCTGATTTTAATTTGATTGAATAACTGAATGTATTTTGCGAGAGCCAGATTTTGATGTAGAGAGAGACCCTAAGTTATTTCACTTATGAGTTCCAGACTAGAGGAAGATGAAAGTGCATTTTAAACACAATTGATGGTGATGTGTGTGTAAGACTAAAATGCGTGTAAGAAAGGCTCACGACAGTGTCAAAATAGTATACACCTTCGCCTCATTCCACTAGATCTTGAGGCCTTGGCATCAACATGGCAAGCCTACAGGTAAATCCGACATTGTATTTCGCCTTAGAAAACACCGGTCATCATATAATTATTATTGTCCCTCAAATTTTCCAATCCCTAATAAATTTAATCGACAGCTGGAACCAGAGACTCCGTACCGAACAAATCGTCACCTCGTAAAGAACCACCACCAGATGCAGGTGAAAATAATCTTTACAGAAAGCGATTTACAGAATTCTAATAAGAAGTATCGTTGGATCAGATCTGTGGAATCAGATGGTCCAATTAGAGGTCATAGCAATATGCATATATTTGTTTTTAAATGGTGTCGCCCACCGGGTAATTTATTAACCATTAGTGAACATAAATAGACCGGGGATTAGCAGTTTAAATGAAAATATGTATTACTCATAATAAAATCGCTTATAAAGGTCACCATCATGTTCATAATAACGTTATTATTTCCGCACCGGCATCGTGTCAAAATAAAGGTTGGTGAAATTATCGGCGTCCATTTTTGTATAAACTGCAGTATGCTTTCTATGAGTACAGTATGGTATAAATGTTTCTTGATAATTCTAATCAGCACATGTAAGTATAATATCAGTATAATATCAACATATCACTTGAATTGTTGCAATAGAACAGTCAATCTTTTTTGTAAAGTCTGAAGAGTTCACATATCAACATATTACTTGAATTATTGCAATAGAATAGTCAATCTTTTTTGTAAAGTCTGAAGAGTTCACATATTATAGTAAACAATAATATCAACATATCACTTGAATTATTGCAATAGAATGGTCTTTTTTGTAAAGTCTGAAGAGTTCACATATACTATTCAAAAAAAGTAGGGGATATTTGATTTTTAAGTGTTATTAAAGTCACCTAATGAAACTGACGAAGAAACAAGTGACAAAATGAAATGAAGTTCACATTCATCGATTTATTCCAAATGATCATTAGACTAAGTAAGGCACAGACTGACCATTATAAGGGTAAAATGATACCCGGGGTCAAACAGCAAAGTTACCACAGCATCACAACCAAGTCAGTAACGGGTAAATCCTCCTCTGTTTGCCAAACAAGCATTGATCCGACGTGGCATACTCCTAATGAGACGTCTAAGGTCATTTTGGTCCAGATTGTCCCATTCCTGTTGCAACGCAGCAGCAAGTTCTTGGACATTGGCAGGACGTTGTTTACGTTGTCGATGGGGGAGAGGTCGGGACTCAGTGCTGGCCAAGGTAATGTGGTGATGTTCTGTTGTTGGAGGTAACCTGTAACGATCCTGACCCTGTGACATCTTGCGTTGTCATCCTGGAAGATGAAACGGCGGCCATGACGTCGTGCGAACGGCACAACATGGACTGCCAAGATGTTGTCCCGGTAGTACTGGCCTGTAACACGCCCTGCAACAACATGTAAAGCCGTTCTTCCAGCAACAGTGATGCCTCCCCACACCATAACAGAACCACCCCCAAATCGATCATGTCTGATGACGTTAACGTCTTGGAAGCGCTCGTTTCGACGACGCCACACCCTCCTACGTCTGTCCAAAAAATCAACAGTGAACCTTGACTCATCTGAAAACATCACATTGCTCCAGCGTCGATTATCCCAGTGTTGACGATCCCTACACCAACGACGTCTTGCCTGAATGTGATGATCTCTCAAACAAGGGATCACGCGAGGACGTCGGGCGCGAAGGTGACCCCTATGCAGTCGATTCCGAATCGTCTGGCCACTCACTCTCACACCAGTGTCTGTTTGAAGACGAGCGCTGATCTGATTTGCTGTGATGACACGATTTCTCAAGGCCAAGGTACGGATAAATCGATCCTGGGCTTGAGTTGTCGCCCTTGGTCGACCTGAGCGTGGTCTGTCCTGTACAGATTGTGTATCACGGTATCTGGACCATAGCCTGCTTATGACAGACTGAGAAACATTCATCGTCCGCGCCACAACCGCCTGTGTTGTGCCGATCTGTAGCATGCCAAGGGCACGTAACCTTTCATTTTGGGTAAGCCGAAGCATATCAAAATTTGTTTTCTGGTCACTAAAACAATTAAACTGATGTTTCCACCCTGGAATTCAATGCCACAATGACTGTAACATTCAAAGTCAAGAGTCGTGCAAATCTTGGGTTGGACCCCCATGATGATCCCAAGCATCACCTGCATTCCATGCGGTAGCTATTGGTGCGTTTGGGCGTCACATGTAACTGGAAATGTTTCTTCTGTTAGGTTCTATAGTGACCTTTTTCGTAGTCATTTGCATATTTTAGTATTATGCCCCCAAAATCAAATATCCCCTACTTTTTTTGAATAGTATATTACAGTAAACAAACTTTTGTTGAACATTTCTTGAACTTTTTCATTTATTAGCTTCAAATGTTATTGATCATTGGCCATATTTTGCAGAAAATTGGGAATTTCCTTAACGGACAAACTGTCATTAATGAACATCATTCAAAGTTTTATTTTTATCAAATATATTCTTGTCTTTAATTGCAGCTGTAACAACGGTCACAAAAATTAAAGCCAGAGAACGATTAAAATGTCAAAGCAATGGCAGACGAAGGTCTGTTCACGAAGCGCCATCTATAAGACATGCATTGGATTATCAGAACAATGTGGAACTGGTGCCACAGATTGAAAAGAAAAACTGCCAGGGCAATACGGTTATAAAGTTCAAGGAGAATGTAGATGGTAAAAATATATACGATGCTAGTGTGACTGTTACATTCAACAAAGATATGGGTGGTGTTGATGCCACCGGAGATTTGTATGAAGATATCAATATGGACGAACTCAAGGAAAGACAAAAAATTACAGCACCAAATGCTTTGGAAATAGCTATAAATCATAATAACGATAGTCACAGTTCTATATCCAGAGTTTCACAAATACTGGATGTGTTTTTAGATGTAAATTTGAAATCCTATTTAGCATTTTTCATAAATTACATATCAGTATCAAATGGAGAACCAAAAAGACCTTTTGCAGTTGTTGATGCTCATAATGGAAGCGTCCTTTTCGCCCTGGATATATTGGATACATGTAAATCTTCACTGAAAGCTTACGGGGGAAATACTAAAATAGGTCGTATAGACTATGGAAAGGCACCTAAGTGTTTAAAGCTACGAAGACAGGGGAAGTTCTGCCATTTAGAAAACAAGTTTGTTCGTGTAATTGACATGAATTCAAGCATGAACGACAACATTACTAAAGCTGCTAAATTCTTATGTAAAAAAACATATAACGATTCTGTGAATGGAGCTTATTCGCCTGCTATGGATGCACTGTTTTATGGAACAGCAATTGTGCGAATGTTTACAGATTGGTACCAAGGAACTCCCCTTAATAAACGTATATTATTACGTGTCCATTATAGTGCAAATTTTACAGATGCTTTCTGGGACGGAAAATATTGCACTTTCGGAGACGGTAGTGCTAGTATATATCCAATGGTATCGTTAGATATAGTAGGTCACGAAATAGGTCACAGCATTACAGAACAATTTTCAAATCTTCTTTACATGGGGGAATCCGGAGGCATAAATGAGGCCTTCTCGGACATGACGGGGGAAGTGGCAGAGGACTATATCGACAAGGCTGATTGGATGGTTGGATTCAGTATCACACGAGATGAACATGCAATACGATATTTCAGCAATCCATTTAAAGATAACGCATCTATCACCCACATACGGGATTACATAGATGGTATGGATGCTCATATTAGCAGTGGGATATATCGTCGTGTATTTTATATTTTAGTGAATCAATTTAGTATTCCCATAAGAAAAGTTTATCAGGTGTTTCTCTTCGCCAACCAAATGTACTGGCATAAAATGACCACTTTTGTTGGTGGTGCCTGTGACGTCCTGAGGGCTGCATTAGATCTAGGTAGTCCTGTGGATGTGTACTCAAACGCTTTTCAACTAGTTGGTATAACTGCTTGTGACGTAAATGATCATATATTCTGGTTAAGAGACGGTGAGGAGTACAGTGGAATTTATGTGTCAGTTGACACGCAACCCATATTTGGATTTTCTTCCCCCGCATGGGCCGGAAGTATAAAAATAAAAACTACTAGTGTACTTCCTGTAAATATAACATTGTATAACGCTGGCAGTTTATCTCGCGGTAACTATTACGTACTGAAATCTGGTAGAAAAGAATTAACTTTCTCCCTCTCTGAACATAAGAATACCAATTTCTTCATTCATCTTAGTTCCCAAACGAGGTATATGATTGATAATGTTGTTCTTGTCGCAAGCTATGGTTGTGTCAAAAATTACACAAAACATCATTATTTTGATTATTTGAATTATATGAAAGACTGTATGGGGAATAATGGACGCAAAACATGAATAAATTGAAGGTTAGATCATTCTGGATATTAATGTGGATAATATGTGCTTCTCGCCAAACCATTGATGGGTCCGTCCAAGCAAACACGTTCGCCCCTGGCAAATGGGAACCGATAGTGATTTATCCACATGACTATTCACCTAATCACCAACACATACAGAGTGGCATTTGCGTTATATCTCGGACTATTATCAACGCAAGAATATCGGATGCTGGATAGCGAGACTTGTGTAGAGAATGTGACAATGGAAGAAATTGCAACTTAGTGGGATTGTTGGTTGAGGAAAAAGGGGAGAAGCCATCCTAATTTCAGAATTTTTCGACCCCAAGTCGTGGAGTTATTTCCATTTTACTTTGGACTTTGAATCTTGTGAACTTATCAGTTTTTAATTGGAATTTGTGTTTTCCCGTATAAAATTCGTCGCAGAACATGGTCCCCGGTGGACACTGGTGATATTGTTGGTCAAGAATTATAAGTTTCCCATTTGGGATAGGACCCATTAAGCTTATGAACGCGATACAGAACATGGACTTTTCACTCTTCTTGGTAGCCTATCTTGGTAAGTTAAGAAGAAAAATTGGCTAACTTCCAGAAATGTCTGTTTTAGACTTTTATAGCTTGTGAACGTGTACAGCTGATCGCCATACTGTGAACACGGTACAAAACTGGGCTCTTCAGTGGAATTTTGAAAATTAGGTGGGGTTGCTCTCATTGATTTATTATTTTATGGTTAGCGAGATTTGTTAATGGGGGCATTAGGTAGTAAGTACCCTATTTAAATTTCAAATTTCCGATGGCAATATCCTGAGTTGTAGAAATGCTGATAATGTATCACTTAAACATACATTATGCAAGAACTAAATCTGCCTATTGCAGGTCTTTCTTTAGGCCCGAAATGTTATATAAACTAATAATTAGACATTTATTAAACATGACAAGACCATAATCAACTCTCGATGCCATCTGATGGGTCCGATTTTCATTAGATTTGAATCCAATCTGTCGTTCAACGGCTGTCGGTGAATGATTAACCGTAAAAATGGATAATCGAGGCGGTAACAATGACAATCGAGGCTACGGTGTATTTAAAATGAGTATTTCTCGGCTCAGAGTGAAGTAATTTGGCTGAACTTTTTAAGCATATTCCGGTCATATCTATATTTTTTAACTATTATAGCGAAAACAGTCAGCTCCTTATCTAATCTTCCATAATGTCGCTTTAATGTTCGTTTATAATTTGTCATGATTTATACGCTGTTGTATTTTGGTTAAAATATAAATCAATATGTGATAAATCTGGGTTTTTATTATTATTATATTGTCATACGCCCGCTCTCTTTGTTGGTGTATAGCCTGTCATCCCCAGGCCTGTCATTGGACACCGAAAAGGCTCATGCGAATGTCCTGCTGTCTTTTCTGAAATCTTTAAGTGAGCGTGGCCGTATTGCTGGTGAAGTGTCCAGCATCGTTCTTTGGTTCGTTCCTGGGGTTTAACGCCCACTTCCACCTAGGGTGATATCGCAGACAAGGGTGTCCAGCAAGACAACTGCGCCTTTTATCGGCAAGGGAAGATTACCTTTTGGCTAATCTCTCCAAATAGCTTGTTGCGTGATTCGCCATAAGTAGTCACTGGTGGCAGAACTCTTGTTAGAGGACGCTACAGATTTTGGTGAGCAGAGGTGAGATCCTCTTAGCACTGTTATGTGTTGGTAGGCTGATTAAGCTTCAGCGCCCGAATCGCTGCATTCAAAGTGATTCCTCCTTCGTCAGGTGAAAGAGACATTAGCTTTGCTGGTACGTATTTTCAAAAGACAAAGGTTAGGGAAACAGTTACAAGATACCAATGCAACCACAATTACCTAACCAGCAAGTAGATCTTGGTACCAGAACCCGACCAAAAGAATCTTTGAGACCTGTTGTGGCAAGACAAGCAGGGTAATCCAAAAACCTCATGGAGAATGTCTCTTTTTCCGCTGATGTTATAACCACATAACCACCCGCAATATTTCCCATATTCACTGCCCACCACAATACGCCTATATGTATGTACTAACACAGACAATTTGATTAATCAAAGAGAGAGAAATGGGGTTTAACGTCCACTCGACACAAACTAGGTCATTTCGGGACTAACACGTGGTTCAATTTTATTTCAATAATTCGTTTGCGCGTAGGGGTCTTTAGCTGTGGGTGCAAACCGGGGGACCCGGAGAAAACCCACGAGGTTGGACAGGCGACCCTACTGCTTGTCACGTACAACCGGGGAATCGAAACCCCGCCAGTTGACTCAATGCAACGTATGATACACCCCCACCCCCATTACACCAAGATACAAGAGGAGTAAATAGAGGTCATCGAATACCAGGTTGTAGGTTCCAGAAACCAATACTACAGCCAATGGCTTTGGATGGAACAAGCTCGCTTATTGGTTGGTTATAAAGTACACTTTGAGACTTGCATCGTAATAAATGGGTGGTCTACACAGAAAAATGATTATTATTTGGCAGGATTACTCAAGGGCAGTGCGCAGCAGGTTCTAAGCTCTCTTCAGTTAGTTATCGATACACTTACGAGCAGCTGTTTGCCGTTTGGGAGGTAGAGTTTAACCCAGAAATCAAACATAGATCTACAGGGTCCCATCAAAGAATAAAATTGAAACGAAATTAATTTGTCGCTGTTATTTTTGTTGTACATGATGGCTTACAGTCACAAGCTGGATCATTTGAATGGATTTTCATTCTGTGGGTAAAAAGAATTGACAGGAATTGCCTCTCGTCGTTATACTTCATCTCTGTATAATTGCGGTTGCAATTAAGGTTGAGCAAACAATTTTCCAGCTATTAGAATTATTTTGCTTAGTCATATTATCGACTAATAATTAAAAACTATGTCATTTTACTACCATGTGATTTAAATAACAGTGAAATCTGATACACAGCCAATAAGATTCAAAGCTAAATCAATTTTAACAATATTGATAATTATATAAATAGCAGAATCAGTCTCCCTGGCCAAAATGGCAGTGGTTATTTATGAGAGATTTACCAAGCTAATAGTTAAGTCACTACGCTGGCAAGAGTTTCTTCAATTACACATAAACAAATGACATGTGGTGGTCCAACTTTCCAATAGAGCCTACACTGTAACCGCGTTTAAGATAAGATGATAAGATAAGATTTTATTGTATCATTGCACCCACCAAGGACAGCATACACAGTTTAAACAAAAGTTGATCATACAATTATAACATAACATCTGGGGTGATTCTTTATGGATGTACAATGTGATATAACAAGTCTATAAGCATTAAAAGATGGTCGGTATAATGAGAATCAGTATTGAGCTAAAAGGAAAATTCTAAACTAGCCTGAAAATAAACAAACTATTTCTACCGTAAGTATTAGTATAATAAACATATTATATTGAACTGGGGTGTTGGTTAACAGGTAACTCTTTCTTGGAGACACTTGACTGGCAATTTCGTTTGGGGGATTTAAAACATTAATCATATTGCACGAGATGTGTTGAATGCTTTTGAAAATTGGCGTAAATTTTGAATTTCTAAGATTGTTATATTTATTACAGTAAAATATGAAATGACATTCGTCTTCTATTTCATTATTATTACATTGATTACATAAACGTGCATGTGGCGGAATATTTTTATAACGACCACGTGTGCTAAGCCTAATCGAAGTCAACGCAATTTTATGGATTGAAAATATTATACCTCTAAATCTAAGTAATGCAAGGTTGGCAGGTTCCGAGTATAGAAGGGGGGCGACCATGATTAACAGGATAGGATGCAGACCACCAAATTTTCTTCCATTGGCTGTAATACGTCGTGCTCGTATGTCAATGTCCGACTAACCTCGAAACCATAAATATTCTCCAATGTCTGTCAAAATATGTAAATTAAAAAACATAGATCTTCTTGGACTCAATACCAAAAAAGTCAACAAAAATGGACCTACAAATGGCGAGAAAAGGGCAAGGTGAAAAGACTATGAATAGAACAACATTTATTTACCTGAGTGCATCACAGGCACTTGAAGGGATTAAAATAAAACTTCTTACTACTCTTTGACTATATATTACTGTAATATATAGTGTCGAGTTTCTATAGTTTGTTTATTTCGATAAAAAGTAGAATTAGAAATTGACTAAGCCGCGGATTCACCAATAAAATGAACCGTAGCAATTGGTTACATCTCACTGTGCCCACTTTTGATTAATCCAATTAAGGTCTAATTAGGGTTAGTGTATTAAGCGGATTAGGATTAGGTGTTATAGGTAATTAGATGGAAAAAACAAATATTGAAAGTGACTAAATATTCAGTCTTATAATTGGTGAGATGAACTCACTGTAATCGTTAAAGTGATGAATTTTATTCAAAAAATGACACTTGAATATAATATGAATTATGTTCAGTAAGCCTACACATTACACGGTCTTTATAAGGACACACAGAAGTCAGTCTGTCATATTTCATCATGGCAAACGTTCAAGTAAACATCCAGTACATCCCCAATGCTCAAGGTGGAGAAAACTTAGTCCATGAAGAATACAAATTCCGAGTGAAGAATAGGAAGGCAGAACGAGTATACTGGAGATGTTGTATAAAAGGTTGTCCAGCAACCCTGAACACCCACCAAGGCTTTATTACCAAATGATATATCCATGTATGTTATATTTTTATTAAATATTTTATATATAAAACATCGAAAATTGTTATATTTTCATTAAATTATAAAGTGCTAATGTGATGTATGATATATCCATGTATGTTATATTTTTATTAAATATATATAAAACATCGAAAAATAAAAAAAAAATTACATAAAATATTTGGGGTTTTTTTCCATCTAATTACCTATAACACCTAATCCTAATCCGCTTAATCCACTAATCCTAATTAGACCTTAATTGGATTAATCAAAAGTGGGCACAGTGAGGACACACCTAGCAATTCGCGTTGATGGAAAAGCTATGGTAGCGTGACGTCAGAGCGATATTTTCCCGCGAGCGTCTTCCGTATATAAAGGTAAATTCGCTTACATTTCGATAATTTTTGAGACTGAATCTTTGCAGATATTGAGATTGATATTAAACAATTACAACACAATTGCTAGTAATACATTTAAATAAAATAGTAATTCAGAATCGTAGATTGAAGAGGGCTATATTTCAGTCGCTGGCTGTAAGATTTCACGCTAAGGTCACGTAATATGAGTAATAAAATTGATCTATATTGTGGAGTTGTAAAATTTTTAATAAGAAGTACAAATTAAAATAACTAAGATACAGAGAAATCCCAATCATATAAAAGCCAATATTCAATGTACAAAATAGTTAATTATTAAAACATCAAAAAGTGTAACTACTAATCACAGAAACAAAATATCAACGGCAACAAATCACGGACAATAGAACTATCAAATTCAAGCCAATCAACTTAGATCCGTTGATCGTGTAACTACTGATAACTAAAACAACAGCTAATCACGATAACAAGTATGTTTATTAATGACAAAAATAATCAAATACGTAATACCTTTTCCTGAACTGATCAGTGATCAGGAACCATCTCACACCGGAAGTAGATATTCAAACTGTCACACCGGTTCCAGGATTTTCAGCGTTGTAGTGATAATTCAAGCGCGTCGGATGTGCGAAAAGCACAGTCAGTCTGTAATCATAATGAACGTTCTCTTTATTTCTTTGACCTCTTTTAATTAATATGTGTTACCATGGGCGTCACACATGGGGGGTGGGGGGGTCAGACCCCCCCTATTGTTTTTCTGGGGGGTCTGAATATACTTGACCCCCCCCCCCCAAATTTACATAGTAGGCCCGAACTCCTATTTATTTCCAACAATTATTAGGATTAGTTAAGATTCTATCTGTATAAAACCTGTACATATCCCAATATGGTTTACATTGCTAAAATAAAACACAGAGAGAATCATCCTGGAAACATGTGTGAAGTGCAACGTAACTGTGTTCCATAAAAATGTGTCTAGTTAGCCTGTAAGTGTCAGTAATATTTTGTTAAATTTATTCTGCCACTTATCAGAGTGTATCGCATGTAGGTACCCAAAAATATTATCGCCTAAACCAAATATTTATCGCCCGCTCAGCCAGCAACGTAACCATAATGCTTTGCACGCGGTGTCGTGGGAGACAGCATGGCCACATGGTGTTTGTTTATATTTTTAGGGGTTTTATAAATGGGTTAGGGTTAGGGGTTAAGGTTGCGGACCCCCCCCCCCCCCCCAATATATATTTCACGCCAGCAACGTAACCATAATGCTTTGCACGCGGTGTCTTGGGAGACAGTATGGCCACATGGTGTTTGTTTATATTTTTAGGGGTTTTAAAAATGGGTTAGGGTTAGGGGTTAGGGTTGCGGCCCCCCCCTCCCCCAATATATATTTCACGGCTACGCCTCTGTGTGTTACCAATTCTTTTTGCTTTAAAGTTTTTTAAAGGATGGGGGAAGGGGATTTCGAAGAGCGACGATCATGTATCACAATACACATTACATACAAATATTGGAAGGTTATTTTAAAGGATATATTATGTGAAATAACTGGTTAAACACATTCCTAATATAATATTAACACAGAGATCATTGGTACGATAGTAACCCAGGCTGAAGAAAGGGGAAGTGGCGAAAAAAATGGAAAACATGAGTTATCCGTAATATAACTGACTGAAGTACAGAGGGATAACAGACACCCGGTCAATTTTCAGCTCACTGATAATTCATTTGAAGACGAATTTTTTTTATATTAGACTGTGAGTAGAGGATATCTATTCCAAACTAACAATATATAAAAAGCAATGACCGTCACGAGCTAACAAATAGTCACTATGTCCCCCATCTTGCACAAAACGCCTTTTCAACCCGGAAAAGGGTTCAGGATAGGGCCTGTTTACCTCATATATTCTTGTTCAGAATAAAAAAAAAACTGGTCTAGAAAAAAACACATGAAAATTTCTATCTCTCCAGGTGGCACCCCCCTCAATTATAACCCGGACTGTATAGTATTTTGAACAGCATAAAAATTCCTCTACTAAACTATCTTTGTCGTGTTGTTCATAACTCAAGCGTAAAATTCAATATGTAAAAGTCGGGAAAAAAATATGAATACGGCAACCCCTGATTTAAACATGATAAACATTGTATTGGTGTGATGTTTTAGTTTAACCCCGTGAAATATGCCAAAACAGTGTTTACAGAAGACTGAAACTTATGGGGTGCCCCCCTCCCACACTCTCCCTATCGCGCTACATCGGCTGCTGCGCAGCCTCGTGCCTCCGGCGTCACAGATTGTCAACATTTTATATAATTTCATTTGCGGACCCCACCAATATATATTTCACGGCTACGCCTCTGGTGAACAGATCTGGGTGGATCGTTTTTCCATTAGTTTAATCTATAGAATTCTATAAAATCCCACAAAATTCTATAATAGAAACCTACACTTTTCTATTCATAAGGCATAAGGGTTAGAACAGGTGGTCCTAAGAAGAACGTGGGGTTGTATGGCCGAATGGTCAGCGCGTGCGCGTTGTATCATAAGGTCTATCATTGAAACAGGGATCGCCTGTCAAACCGGGTTTTCTCCGGGTCCTCCGATTTCCTCCCACTGCTAAAGTGCTAAAGACCCCTACGCGCAAACGAATTGTTGAAATAAAATTGAACCATGACCTAGTTTGAGTTGAGTGGGCGTTAAGCCCCCCCCCCTCTCTCTCTCTCTCTCCGAGAAGAACATGCCAAATGGTCATAATTATTATTTTAGACAGATGTTGTTATTTCAGAGTGCTAACTTCACTCCAGTCTACGCCACTTCCTGTTCCGTTTCCTGAAGAAAGTGGGTTGTTTGAGTCATAATATTAGATTGGTTTAACCATTTATCTAACATGTTTGACTAAAAGACTTCTATCTAATAATATATATCTGCACCACATTTACAGTGCGGATGTAGAAAGCGAAACACAAGTCTATGACTATAGCGGATAGCAAGCAGTACATAATAATCGGTACAGTATCGACAGAGTGAGAGAGAGGAAGGGTTTATCAATCGAAAAGCAAATTCATGTCAATGACCTACGAATGCGTAAATAATCATATGCAAGTAAATTATAATTGTGATTTATACCCAGTGTGAGAAGATAAAACAATGGCCAGACAACCTGTCCGTATTAATGTGTATGATATGGTAAGAAAAACTAGCCTGTAGTTTACTTCCTTCTTCAAGTTCTTGTCTAACCACCTGCCACTGGACTGGTAGGGACTAGGGTAGGCAGGCGTGTAGGCCTACAAGTATGTACTACTACTACATCATATGTTTGTAGTTTCATTCACCAATCCACAGATTTTATTTTGACCCTTTCTTCCTAATATTATACCTTTAAAGATCTTCTTGTATTATTGTAATCTGTTGAGTAGGCCTACTGTATTATGATAACATGACATTTCGGTCCCGCGTCATTTCGAACTTCTGACATTTCGGACCCCCAAAAATATGGCCTCAACATTTCGGACATGGGGTTTAACGTCCTACTGTTCTGCTCCTATGCTGGGCTAATGAAGACGGGCATATGCCATACAGTGTGCTATGAGTGAAATTTTGCCCGGGCAGCGGCACTATCGCCTACTCTTATATATCGAATTCCAACTGCCAAGGGATCTTTTACGTGCATTCTAATGTATACAAGGGACCTCGGTTTTTCGTGTCATCCGAAGGACTAGACAGCTGTCCTTGTCTTTCGGACTCAGGTAGGTGACGTTTCGGACTCGGGAATAAGTTGAAAGGAACGGTTGAACACAACTGTCAGATCAATCTATAATAAACCAAAAGCGATTTTATAAAAAATAACATGCAGGTAAAATTTACCCCTCGCAATCAAGTACAGCACGTGGAATCGTGGATCACGCACTGTATAGATCTATCAAGGAACTCCACAATTTTCAATGTTGAAAGTTTATGAAAAGAATGTCTCATTTCTTTATATCTGTAATACTAATATGTACCGGTACATGTATATAAAGAGTAGCTGATGAATTTATTAGAAATAGGCCAATTCAAAACACGAAAAAAAATATTAACATGAAACACGTAGTACAGTGGTTGAAATTATTGCACACATCTTGTCAAACCTTCAAAGGCTAATATCTTCGGTCGCAATAGAGTAATTTGAATGAAATTTTCAAATTATTCATTTTACATTATCTATTTTCGAACTATTATAGCAAGAATGGCTAGCTCTTTATCTAAATCTTACATAATGTATAATCTTTAATTCAATTACATTTAATTTCAACATATTTCTTGTCATCCCATCTCTAATACTCCAGGCAATGAATGATTTTATTGGAAAAATGATGTCAGAAATGAAGTCATTTTCTTTAAGTTCGACCATCAAATTTAATATGAAAGAAATCTGTGGCAATCATTTTGTCAAAATCAAGTAATATTATTAGTAGTCCTCAACTTCCATTATTAATAGAATTGTCCTTAGCCTCGTAGTGGATGAGATATAGCATTATGGAATTTATATGTTTTAGCATATAGCAAAAACTCCGTCTCAAAATAAAATCCTCATGGCCTCAAATGGTTTTGGAAAAATTTAACAGTCATATATATTGAGGTAGTAGACAAATCAATCATAAAAAAAATAATTTAAAAAAATAAAAAATCAATAGGGAATTTTTTTTTCTTAAAAAATGATATTTACTCTAAAATGGCCATAACTGGTTCTCAGTAACTACAAGGTTGGTGACCCTCATATTTCATGTGGGGTATACAGGGTTCCCAATAACCAAATCTGCAAAGTTTAGTCAAAATCTACAGGCTGCAATTCTGAATGGATCATCTTGGAACTTTGCATGTTTATTCCTGTAAATTCAGTCTGTAAATTTGGCAAAACAAACCCAACGTCTAGCCTTCTTTGCCTCTTGTCATATTACAGACATTGCAGCCATTTCATATTTCATTCTCTTCATTTTAAAAAGTACCATATCAATCAAAGCAAGAATGTGGACATATTGCAGCATTAGCAATGCTCTTCTTGTATTTCTCGATGTCCAAATTTGTGAGGAGTTCAATTTTACAAGAAATAACTTTTTTTCTTCTTTGTGATATTTAGTTGTACAATGGATTTTTTTAATGGGAGGTGATTTCAAACACACAGGCAAGTTTTTAATAGCCATAAATAAGTAGTTTGTTCATAATCGAAGAAATCCATTTAAAACATACAACTATAAATGAGGCCCATTTCTTTTATTCTAGTACTGGATGAATGAATATACAGCACCTATTGGTTTAGGAGTTTTTCATTCTGGAGTAGAAGTTTATGGAACAGGTTAGTACATGTATAAAAAAAATGCTTTAATCTGTCTTTTAGGAAAATTCGCAGTTTTCAGAGTGGACTCTGAAATAGAAGGGTGTTGAATACTCTAAAATACACATTTTAAAATTAGCACTGTAAGTTTTGTTCATAAGATGTGACATTGAAATGTGATTGTATATTGTCGTCGCCCCGCCCGTCCGGTGTCCACAGTTGCATGTGGACGCTCTATAGTCTAAATCTAATATCCAATTGACTTTAAATTTATACACAGTGTTTAAGGTCTTGAGACGAAGAAGCCTATTGATTTTCACCGATTTCCAATAATTACTGCCAGAGTTGTGTGACTTATGTCCCTTGATCACTTTGAAACATCTTGTTGGCGCTCTAGAGGCTAAAGTTGATATCCGATTTACTTTAAATTTAAGATCATGAGATGAAGAATCTATTGATTTTCACAGATTTCCGATAATTACTGCCAGAGTTATGGCCCTTGATAACTTTGAAACATCTTGTGGATGCTCTAGAGGCTAAAGTTAATATCCAGTTGATTTTAAATTTAATTTATACACAGTGTTTAAGGTCAGGAGACGAAGAAGCCTATTAACGTTATGGCCCTTGATCACTTTGAAAAATGTTGTGGATGCTCTAGAGGCTAAAGTTATTAATATCTGATTGACTTTGTCATGAGACAAAGAAGCTTATTGATTTTCAACAATTCCCGATAATTGCTGCCAGAGTTAAGGCCCTTGATCACTTTGAAATATCTTGTGGACGCTCTAGACGCTAAAGGTAACATGCGATTGTCTTAAAATTTATACACAGTGTTTAAGGTCATAAGATGAAGAAGCCTGCCAAATGTCAATGATTTCCAATGATTATGAAAATTGATATTAAATGTTTTGTATGCTAAATGTTAGAATGTTATAAATGTTTTCATTTCTGACAAATGGAAAAAATATGTGATGACTTTTGTTGACTCCGCGGATGACTTAGCTGCTGTGGGCATATGTTTTGTTGCCTGGCAAGTGGCAACCTTTCTTTTGTTATTTGGGGTGATAAACTACATATTAACCCGTTAAGCGTGACGTTTTTAAAACGTTAACTACCCCCTATTGTGTAATTAATTTGACGAAGTGACGAAGAACTATGTACTATGTTCTAAGGGATTCCCCCAAGTGACAAACTATGTTCTAAGAATAGGTTGGGGAAAATACCTACAAGGCGTTATATTACGCCCTACACACAGTGAGTGGCAGTTGTCTAGGACGTTATATAACGACCTACGCACTTAACGGGTTAATCACCTCTTAAATACCAATTTTATTTACCAACTATGTTTCAAACCCTGCATAGATTTTGGCATGAACAATGCTAAATGCAAGTCCAAGAAACCTATGGGTCACTTTCTGGCTATAGAGCTTGGTTTGTCTGGTATCCATGGAAAAGCCTAAAATGATGAGTTTTCTTGGAAATTCGGATGTAAAAAATAAATTTTTATTTCAGTGCACTCAAAATTATTTTATACATTCAAAAATAGTCATCTTCGACCATCCAAAAAAGTTTCAGTAAGAGCCTGAGTACCGTAACTTATGAATACAATTCCTTGAAGGTGTTTTTGGGTTTTTTTTACAAAATGTTCAAATTTAAAGGCTTCATCTTTAGGAGATGTTAAACAGGCATTATACAAGAGCTAAATCTGCCTATAATCAAGTTTCAATGCGGTCAGATAGGTCCGATTTTAAGTACATTAATAATTTAATCTAAAAATGGAGACTAAGCTCGGAGAGAGAGAGGGGGGGGGGGTGAAACCACGCCAGTTGACTCACTGACAAACCTTATGATACAAGCACACACGCTAACCATTCGGTCATCCAACCCCCGCTAAGCTTCGAACAACCAGTATGGTGATTACTATCAGTGCACACATCTTGTCAAACCTTCATTGAATTCAAAGGCTAATATATTTTCGCTCAGAATAAAATAATTTGAATGAAATTTTCAATATAATTATTTTGCATTATCTATTTTGGAACTATTATAGCCAGAATGACCAGTTCTTTATCCAAATCTTACATAATGTATCTTTAATAAGGCAGGGGCATATGCTGTATATTATGTTCTGGACAAGAGGATTTCAATTTGTAAATTGATCATTCCAGGCCTATTATATAACATACAATGCCTCATTTAATCATGGAAGAGGCCATGTTTCTGAAGCAACGACTGCGAGTTTTACAGCATCTGGTCGTTACTAGATTACTTCACAATTCCCAAACTTATAGCTACTTTATCTGCAGACACATGAACAGTAGCATCCAATCAGAGATTGTGACATAGCGACCCCCACGGAAACCTTGACATTGGACAAACCTTGTACTTTATCACAGGTAGACATTTTAACTTGAAAGCGCGAGACTTGGTATTTGCAATGACCGTGGAATTTAGTGTCAGAATATGCAGGGTATTACGTGAAGGCCTTGATAAGATGTACATAGTTAAAGCGAGATCAAGCCTTCTATTGAAGATAGGAAGAGGCTAGCTGCATGTATATTGTAGCGAGCCGGTGAATAATACAGGTGATCAATTAAAATAGTGTTGAGGTTGATGAAACTTTCATCGACAGTATAGTGGCTGGGTCGTTACTCAATAGTAGCCTGTAATAATAATGTTATCTGCTAGGCAAGATATGAAGAGAACAACACCCATTTTATTCCTCTTGGCCAATAATGTAACCGAAAATCTGATCTTAAACACATAGTTTTGGATAAATTTGACCATCGATAGGTTTACTAAAGCAATAATGTATCTCGAATGAGCATGGCATTTGAATTCTTTGACATACATTTTTTTTATCTTTTCAGAATATGCATATGGAGGTCATCCATTTCCATTTTCTGGTTTGTTTGAAATTGCACCTCGAGATGCTGAAGATTTAGGAGAACAATTTAAATTCAAGTAGGATTTATTTAAAATCTTTGTTATATTCCTGATTTAATTCCAGATTTAAATATGTACTGGTTTTAATTAGTTTGTTTATCCTTTATAACAATGTTATATAATGTTTGCTGGTCATCCTAGGGTTAGGGATCTGTGATACATTATGTGCAGCCAAGGGTGGATACGAGGCAAATAGATCATTGGATCAGATCGACACTCCTCCACAAGACAAATACCCTTTTAGTATGTTAAAATGTGAACCAAAACCCCTTGGATCTGCACTTGTGTTAGTTGGGTAGATGCTGTACTGTTTTAACCATTATCAAATTTACAGCCATATTTTGACTTTTGTAACATAAATAATAGAATAAATAGATAAAGATATTTCATATGTTTACCTCATTTGAAATGTTTAAAACTATCTTTTTAAGTAAGGTTTGTTGGTGAGGAACATCTTTGTGGTTTTCATAAATTTTTCCTCCATTATTGCCAGTAATTTCTCATGTAATGCCATAATATGTGTAGTAATAATATTAGAGTCATGACATATAGATCTTTTTAAATCACCATATCAGTTAAATTTTGTTTTGTTCAGTTGATATTAATATTAATATTATATTAATTTTTTTTCAGAGAATCTATTTTAATAGGTTATACTGATTTTTCTCATGAAGATATAAAGAATTATGTTGAACAATTAGGTAAAGAGTTTCGGGGGGATCAATATCATCTGCTGAATAAAAATTGTAATCACTTCTCAGCCTCCTTAATTCAGGTATGTATATTGAGTGTTGTTGCATTATCAGGGTTATCAGTATGCACAATAGTGTACATAGAAAGTTGGTTATGCTGCTGCCATGGAAAATACAGGTTAAAAACTTGTTCTTTTTGAATTACAACTAGTGCGCTTTATACACTTACAATTCTTGGCACAAGAACTGTCTGTCCTCTGTCGATGTTCCGACAATTATTATGATCTGCAGAAGACAAACCAATCAAACACAGCACCTGGCGTATGTAGAATGTTGTCATACTGTAAGATCGTTCATACAAATATTTCTGATTTTAAGATGTTTATAAAAAATTTGATTACTGTTTATTTCTAGATTATGTGTGGCAAAGAATTACCAAGCTGGGTGAACAGGTTAGCATATGTTAGTTCCTGTATACCATTTATTGAAAAAGCTATTCCTAAAGAGTGGTTGACTCCTGCAGCACTGAAGGCAGTTATACCACCTCCTACAGAAGAACAAAAGAGGGAAGCAGAGGGTCGTAGGTGACACAGCTATCTTGATCTTTCCTTTATGGTTAACTTAAGCAAATCTTCAGCCATTCCTGCCTCATGATTCTCAACTTTACAGATAGAAAGAACTGTAATAGTTTCAACATTATCTGGGAAGAACATTGATTAATGTGTTGGTAATGTAACTGGTTGACAAATTTTATCATTAGACCCAATGTACTGGTACAAGTCATGGAGCAAATGAAGAGAAAATGTTTCTTTACGTAGTTAGAAAGTATAGCCGATATTTTCTATTCTGTTGTTTTCTATTATGAGTAATTTATAAGACAATATAACTGTTATTCTTCTTTTAATTTAATTGGAAAAAAACAAGACCATGGAAAGAAAAGAGTGTTTTGTATTCACTCAATGTTTTAAGAAAGGATGTTTCACCATTATTCAGACATTTGCAGAAGACAAATATTGTACACCACACATTATTTTGTTTTCAAAAGAAATGACATGCTTAACAAGGCACACCGATTTTTGAGGCTACAACATCCATTATTTCCCCCAAAGCACTTACGTAAGAGAGGTTTTGCATAACAACGAAAGTAATAATATGAACAATTAATTAGACTATTATTGTTGTCAATATCATACTGATTCAGGGAATAGAACAGAATATAAGCAAAGACTAAGTACCACCATGAAGAATTGCACAAGAATAGATATGTTACTGACTTTACCTGTGTTATTTAAATTATTATGAAATATTATCATTTTGGTCCATGTACGGAATTACTCATGAACTCCAAAGACATTTCTTACCTCAAAACAAACGTCTTCTCATAAATGCTTAACTCTTTCTCGGTATTTTTTATTAAAAATATTGGATTTCTTTCTTTAGTTGTCCCCACCTTTCAAAGAAAACAGGGGACTATTAAAATAGGTATGAACATATGACAGATGAGCATTTTCTGGTAGAGATAAGCAATTTGGTTAGTCCATACCTTAGGGACACATTAACTTTGATTCTAGTTACGTGGGTGATGAAACTTGGTGTATAGTTTAACATCAATACCATGTCTGCTGAGGTTAAAGAGTGATTGGTCGAGACTTTGGAACACAATAGCTTTGATTTTAATTGAGTTAGTATGGTTAAACTTTCAGGGTTCATTACAGCTATACATGAGACTAGGGAAATAGACATTTGAATTTGGAACCCAAAAACTTCGCTTCTAATTGGGCGAGAGTGGTGAAAGTTTCATTAAATCAATACCTTCACTAATTTCGATCATAAGCATTTTGCAAAAAATGCAATTAATTAATAAATTTCATCTATATACATTGTGAACTGCTGTATTTAGCAAGGCAACAGTTCAAGTTCGTGTTTCTTTGGATTCCATTAATTTTTATCTCAATTATGGCCCTCTGTTGACTTAAAATAAAAGAAAATTCTTTTACAATAATCCATACCTTATATCTTGTACATATATTGTATATGTTAATAATTTATTGCTGTATTTTTAATGACAAATTGATATTTAATATTTCATAGGCTGATTAATCTCTATTTTTGTTTTACTGTAATTGTTAAATTTAATTTTTAACATTCTGTATTTGTCTATTATGTAAATAATACCTTCTTTTTTTTTTTTTTTTGCTCAATTACTTCTGTTCACTAGCAGCCATGTTGACAAGCAGAAAGAAGACTGTTTCATTCCATTTGTTTTATCTTTAAAAGTATATCGCTAAACCTCTTCAATGAAGTGTTTCATATCATAAAATGACGGATTTGGTAATTTTAAAATGGCAATAAAAGTGATTTCAAGAAACAACCCCAAATTAACAATTTTCCTCTTTTACAACCAATATTTTATATATGCACTTTAGATTAGCATTACATTATAGTACTACAGTTTTCAATTATTTTTCTTACCAGTACCGTTCTATTAGTTTAATCATATACCATTTAGAGACAAACAAAAGACGGAATGAAACAGCCTTCTACTTTATATTCCCAAGGAAAGGTAATATTTAAAAAAAATAAAAATCATGTTTGCAATTGTAATTGTTTATGTCCCAAGACCCAGACCCTTCATGAAGGGGAGGGGAAGGAGCAGGCCTGGGGTAATCAAAAGTAATTATTACACAATTTGAAGTAAAGGACATGTAATGAGTATTAGAGAAGTAGATCATTATATTCCAAATATCATGTAATGGTCAATTACATTCCAATTACTTTTTATTGCAAATAGCAGTATTTACCTGTATGTGAAGCCTCAAGGAAGTAAAGTTCGAATATCTGACACAAATCTAATACATTGTACATTGGATTTAAAAGAAAAATTGAAATTAGATTAAAAGAATTATAACAGTCAATACTAAAAAGTAGCCTAATAATCAAATTCTAGTGGCTTTCAAGAATGCCATCATCTTATCCTTACATATTGCCACCCCCCCATTTCATTACAATTCATACATTGTTTTTGTAATGGGCTGGATACCCCATTTCATTACAATTCATACATTGTTTTTCTAGCATGCTGGATAATTTCCCAGTTACAGTTTTGGATTGATTAGGAATTCATACATTGTTTTTCTAGCGTGCTGGATAATTTCCCAGTTACAGTTTTGTATTGATTAGGAATTTACCAAATTAAAAGACATTCAATTGTAACAGTTTTTACACTCCTGTCACATAGAAATTTACTTTTGCCTTGATGTGATATTTATGGAAATGAGAATTCATGTAGAAAATCAAAGATTATTGTGCATGATTACGTGGGAGCTTTGTGGTTAAAAATAAAATATAGTTAACTTTTTAATGTCTGTAAAAAAAAGAGTTGTTCTTCATATAGTTACATGGTATCTTTTATTAATAACTTTCAATGTAATGGGTAATGGCAATTAATTACATTTCTACAAATGAGAAAGAAATTGTAATGATTACATTTAAATGGTAATGTAATTAATTACCTTTGTAATGTAATTACCCCAGGCCAAGACGAGCGAGTACATGCATCTGAGCTTATCAAAGTTTTATATGAAACTCAAGAGCTCACCAAGACACTTTATATCTAGTTGATTTGTATAGTATGTTTGATAAAATATCATACTCAATCTAATATAAATTATTTGCATGTAGTTCTTTGTGTATTTTAAAACAATTGTTTTTTGGTCATTATAAAGAAATGTGTTAATTACGGTAAAAGCACAAACATCTGTTTCACATATAACTAAGTACAGTGAATAAAAGAAGAATATCACTATGACTGACTGCTTGAAAAAATGTGTACTTTATATTATATAATATGCAAATTTGTAATTTCTCGATAAGTATGTTATATATTTTTGTTATATTCTTCAGTTTGTGTGCAATACCATATATAGTAGTCTTTTGGGTTTTATTTTTCAAAAATATTTAAATGTTGTTTTGTTGTCAATATCATTATCTCATTACTTCCCCTGTACAGATATCAACAAATAAATATGTTTGTTTTTACATTATGATATATAGACAGCTATTGTTTTTAAAAAATGTTATTAAATCAGTCAAAATAAAATTCTTTGTAATTGAAAATGTTGTTGAATTTTTTAATTGCTGTATATTATTTTAAGTTACTGTTTTCGGTTTTCATGACCAAGTAGCATGCGAATTCTACCACTCACCTGTAATCTGACTGCAGAAATCTGAAACTCGATTAAATTGATACATATTTTGTTTCCAAAACTTATCGGTAATTCATGAAACTCAAATGCCAGTTTCTAGTTTTTACCTGTACAATAACATAGGAGTCTGGTTGATTCAGTTGAAGCTTGTTCACCATTCGGCAAACCTGTGCGGACTCTGGTAACATATGTCTAACCTCGTCTGTATGACGGTTAGTTGTTGTTGTACTTAGCGTTTAATGTCCACTTGCTGGGGTCTTTGCAGTGGGAGGAAACCGGAGTACCCAGAGTAAAAACCCACAAGCCACAAGGTTGAGAAGGCGCCCCTATCTCCAAGTCCAAGCCACATACACTCACACCAGGGATTGAAACAGCAACCGCACGCCAGAGAGGTGACCGACCAGCTAGAGTTCGAGCGTGACACTCTAGACCACTTAGGACCTCTCACCCCACCCCCTATGTCGGAAGTGATATGTAGCTGCAGTTATACATCTGTGATGCGATTTACCTATTTTAGTATTTATTACGAAAACTTGCCGCTTTTAGAAAGAGGATCTCAAAATGGCTTTGTTTTCATTGCAAAGTTGCCCTTTGTTTAAAGAAAATCGGATAAACTTGAAAGAAAAGCAGCTTCAGACATTGATACTATACAGTTTCTTGAGATAAAACACACTTCAAAGACGTCGCTTCATGGGCCCCGCCAGTTTGAATCTTGAAAATAGTTCCAATGACGGAATTCGTCATACATCCGAGCACACTGATCAGCAGTGAATATTCGCTAGAAGACTCGTAATTCTCTGTGAAACAGATTGACAGCCGAGGTTAGATATGTAGGTGTGCCGAATGCTTGTTCACCTATTCGCAGTGGGATCATTCCATGTCAAGTGGGTCAATTTTCAGAAATTTGGGAAATCGACCCCCTCGAAAAAATCTGGAAAAAAAAATATGTTATTGTACATGTAAAAACTAGAAACTGGCATTTGAGTTTCATGAATTACCGATAAGTTTTGGAAACAAAATATGTATCAATTTAATCGAGTTTCAGATTTCTGCAGTCAGATTACAGGTGAGTGGTAGGGTTCGCATGCTACTTGGCCATGAAAACCGAAAACAGTTTGGTGTAATTGTATATTTTCTGGATTTTGTAGTGCTCCAGGAGCTACTAAGTAATAGATATAGACCCATATTTTGGCCTATCCAGAGATTGCCGATAGTACTACATAAGAAACATATTATTATTAGAACGCGCCAGTTTTCACTAGATTCCTAGAAAATAGGTCACATGGTCTACAAGGTCAAATTCAAAGTCTAAAGGTCTTATCTCTTTAAAACACCTGGATGTCAAATATAAGTGTAGATTAAGAATTCTTGTGGAATCCCCATTCCAGAAATACTTATTCTAGCATTATTTACTTAATATCGGGCCCATTTTGGCCGAAATCCCCAAAATTGGGTGGACCGTATCTCTGGAATTGTTAGTCAGTCGGATCAATTAAGCTAAAATAAAATGTTTTTAACCCCCATACTAAAATTAGCTCCATATGAAAGTGAAATCAGACAATATCCAATAAGCTAGTTGATCGTTATTTTAATTCCTAAATCGACGATTTTAGTCGAAAACACAAGTACCAGTATACTTCTAGAATATTGGGGAGTATTTATTCCGAAACCGCTTCCCAATCAGAAGAAATAATGAAAATAAGAATCAAAATAGGTATCCTTTTTGTCTAAAGTTATCTCCGTTTCCCCGCAATTGCCTGTCCTTTCATTTCAAGCAAGACTGGATTCCACAAAATTAAATTTGTGTCGGTTTAGATAACAACCCTCCGTGTTTCGAGATACAACTACAATTAAGCATATAATCCTACCTCAAACGGGTATAAATCATCGTATTTATAATCGAAGCGTTAAGCCGATATAGGAACGCCATATTTAAACGGGAGATGTATGACGGTGTATGTCGTATAAAAACAACGCTTCATATTAAAGTAGCTAAGTCTCTAACTCAATATCATCAAAAATCTTCAACATTGAAAACACGATTTATTTGTCAAATTAAATCAACATTCATGTTGTGATCTTACCGGAAAAAGATGGGCTTTTGCTATCCAATATTTAAGACAAAATAAACATTTTACCATTGGAACACGAATCGTGTACCATAATGCGCTTCGGCCCCAGTTGTATCAAGAGACTCGAGGGACGAGGCTAGACACATTGTACCAAATCAAACGGCGCATGTAGACTGGAATGACCAGACGCTAGAAATTTGCACTCGCTTGAGGCTGCTGGCTTATTTCGCCGAACATAACTGATTTGAAATTGGAGTAAAACGGAAACCATTGAATGTAAATCAGTTTATATACATTCATATTACAGTATTAAATGCGTTGCGACCCACTTTTGTCAATTTCTAGGTCCCAAATGTTAGCGATTTAGCCCCTTTAAGTCAAACGCGAATATTTGGAGTAAGGCGATAGTTGTGCCACTAAATTGGCCTCTGTAAGTTTAATTAGTCATAATAGTATAAAATTATCTTATTTTTAAGATGTTACATGCATTAATAAAGAAATTGAATTTGCCACTTGGAACTAAAGGCTCCCAATCGTAGAAAAAACAAGCACATCAGTACATCTCAACGTTTTTAGCTACGTTAGCAAGTCGTCGTGTGAGAAACAGACTGTTCTAACTACCATTTGTTGAAAGCTGAGATAATGGCCTTCAAAGTTTGGGGGTCTTGAGAACACATTTCTGTAACTTTGTTAAGGAAGTTTATATTTCCGATCAATTCTAGTATATGTTAACTCGGCAATGTGCGCTAATTATCTCTCTAAAAATGTAAATTCTTCTAAAACGTGGCAAATGAAGATGGAGATAGAAATTTTAAAATAACAAAACGTCACATTTTGTTAGAATTAAAATGTTCAAGGATATAGAACGTTTTGCTAGTTATGATTGTGTGTAGATATTAAGTATCTGTGGACATAGAACAATACAATTTCGTTATTGTACTAAATGTTTATTTAATATAAAGCATTTATTAACATGTACGGTGGCTGATTTAGGACACGCAAAAAAAAAAAAAAAAAATATCTCGATAATTAAGTTGAGCCCTCGAGATAATTAAGTCGAGCGCTCGAGATAATTAAGTTGAGAGCACGAGATAATACAATCGAACACGTCTCAACCGATGTTTTAAGCTGTATAATTTTGGGCATTATTTAATGATAAACTTGCAGAATAAAGATATTCATTGGTTCGTTTTTACAGCCCATCCAAAGCTGCAGTGACGGAGTCCCCCCCCCACCACACACCCACACCCACACCCACACCCACTCACTACATCCCATGCTCATCA